ATTAGTTAATATTTATTTCCTATCGATTTCTGAAAATCAAATCTTGGTAGGGAGGAAGAAAGAGCGTTGAATCGAATTTCATGCACACCGTCTCTTCTAACGAAAAACTTGAATCCGCCATGGCATTGGTGTGTTGCCCTTCATGGAAGCAGTAATCGATATGTCTTTCTTTATCCATTACATGTATATATTAAACGTATAAAAATATTTTTCCTTTTTTTGAAACTTAACTCGTTATTGGTTCCTGGAATTGTTGTTATTTATATTCATGGTTTAATTTTCATTTATTGTCCTGAATATTTATTAAGGATTTTATTACCTTAAACAAATTGTATATGGATTAAATGTTCTATGACCGTGCGTTATTCCAATTATTTTTTTACCCAATCTTTTATATTTTATTTTTTTCTTTTAAATTCTATCCAACTTTAATTTTTCATCAAGATAGGATGTGCATTTCTTAGGCTATGCATTAATTTCATAAATTTATTGACCACAAGATTACCCTTTTTCTCTTGTAGATATTAAAGGTTATAATTTTATTGGTTTGTTTATAATGTTATACATTTTTCTTAGTTTCTGAAATTTTGTAACTGGGGAATTTTTTTTTTAACTTCATATACAATTTTTTTATTTTATATATACCAACCAATTATTAGATTTTTTTTTATTCTTTTTACATTACCTACGAGCAATTTTTAGAGGAAGGGAAGCTTTTGGAGGTATATTTAGATAGATCACGCTGAAAAAATGTCCTACATTAGTTGATGCTTTTAGTTTTCACATTTTGGAACTATGTCCTACGATAATTACATGGGAATCCCAGAAGCCGCCTCTAGGCTTTTTCCTTTAGGACAAGATAGTGCCACTTGTGGAGTGTCTATGCTTATTAAATTGTAGAAAGTCCTTGGTGTTTTTTTTTTTAAACATTTTATGTAAAAGCTAATTTTTTTAAAGAGGAACACACATCCTTATTTAAATCTATGGCTTTCTTAAATAATGAGTTAGCAGTTTAACTTTAACCCCAATTGGACTATGGGGTTAAATCATTCTCGCATTCACACATATTTCAGTATTTTATGTTTTTGAAGGTCTTTGATGTGATGAGAAATCGGAAGCAAATGTTGCTAGCAGAATTGGCAGTGGAAAAGACTAATTTTGGGGTATTGAAGCTCATGGTGACATATTGAGTGTTTAGTTTGATAAATTTAGTCAATCATTCATTCATGTTCTTAATTTTCAGTACATCATTCGCGTTTGGTCTCTCTCTCTCTCTCTCTCTCACACAGACCGCACACACAAAAAAACACAGTTCATAATCTTGGGGTAGGAAAATTATCCAAATAGACTGTCTGTTTTCCTTAAAAATTGGTTCGCTGACATTTTATTTTTGTTTAAATGGTTAATAAATATTGAGTTTTTTTACTCACTTTAGGCCTTTGTTTATTTATTTACTTTTCTTGGAGAGAAAAAAGAAAAGAAAATGTAAGTGGTGGTTGGTAAATCTCTGTCCTTGCAGAAAGAAATTTATTTCAGATATATAGAGAGAGTTTATCTTGTGGGATCATTTTTTATTTTTTGAAGATCGCTGGATTACTTATTACCACCTATTTGCATTAGTGCTTTAATGGTAGAATTGACTACACATATTATGTTTGGGTGATAGAAATATTTTTTTGATCAAGAGAATAAATGCTTGAAGTATGAAATTTTTTTTATGTGACTAAAGTATAACTTTATATATTCATTGTCACCCATCATGTGTGCTTGTATCTGCAGGAGAAGCTGCAAAAATGGGTAAAAGACCATAGGAATTTGTATCAACAAGCACAAGCTAAATGCTAAGGTATGGAGACAAGTTAGCTCGAAAACCAATGTAGGTTTGAACATTCAACCTTCTCGTACCTCATTCTAAAATCAAGTGTTAAACATGTGCAATGTGAATTTGGGAAGCTTAATTTAGGTTGAGTGGAAGCACGAGTGTTTTTACTTTATTAACTTGTATAACCCATAGGACTATATCCGTGTTGCTATTGATGTTATCCCCAATCTTTATTGAGAAAAGCATGATTAAGTTGAACCCTTTTCCGAGAGGTGGGGAAGTTTAAAAAAAATGACAAGCAACTTTCAGTTGGTGTTGGTTTATTTATTTATTTATTTTATTTTATTTTTGGAAAAAGCTTAGAGAGCGAAAATAAGCTCTTTTGAAATAGTTTAGGTGCCTTGCTTGGTTTTAATGAGCTTATAATTTGTTCTGGGTTGACTAAATATTTCACATTATAACTTTAAATTCCAAATAAAATCTTTATACAATGTGGTTCCGGGTTTCCTCATGCAATTCAGCCCCCTCTTGCAAGACCTACGTGTCAATCTCCGTCTCCAACCCTACTCCAGTTGCCAACACCCCCACCCTTGGGAAGTGGAGCCTGCTTCTTGCTCTTGCCACCTTTCCCAAATTTCAGCTATTAGGACAAAGGCCCAACTCTAAATTCAAGCTTGGTGCCTGGATATCAACAAAACCAGTTAATAATCTGAATAACAATAATAAAATTGGCAATACCCATGGTTAGCATACATGGTGGGAGCTAAATGATTTGGCCTTTTAAATGCTGTGAAATCTCATTCATTACATTGAAATGCTTTGCCTGAGTACAAGTTCAGTTCTTAAACTAATGAAAAACAGACGATTTCTTGATGTGACCTATACAATATATTCATTTTTATTTCATTGAATCCAAAGTAAAATACTTTGTGCAAGAACTTCATCTTTGCAAAGATGACGAAGAATTCAAGAACTTCATGCAGTCCTATATACATACCATCCTCTGTTCAAACATGTGTGTCTCTCAATCATTAACATTTAACACGCTCACATTACCTTCAAAGAAACACAACCCGTGAATTGTATGGGCAAAAAAACTAGTGATTATAAAAGAATGAAAATTTTTCGATTTGCGTAAAATATTATTTTATTGAAAATTGTGCCTTGAAAGTTCTTTTTGTTATTTTAGGGTGAATTAGGGACTTTTTGGTCATTACGATTACAATGGGCAAAAGATACGAGTCAACGAGTTGATTATAGGTTAGGGATTGAGAAAACTCCCAAATTGAACCGGGTCTAACTAAATCGAATCGAGCGATTTATTTTAAATTAAATACTTGAAGGAACATCTGAATCGAGAACCAATGATGTTTGATTCTCGATTTTAGATAAAAAAAAATCGAAAAAGAACCAAAATGTTTTTTTTTTGTAAATAAATTTGTTAACTTATTAATTTGCTTAAATCCAAGAATATGATTTTTCTATTTTTGAATCTCAATTCAAGTCCAAGATAATCAAATTGAACTAAGTTTTACCAAATTTTATTATTCTACCGTAATGTCACTTCTATTGTTCTGATTTTTGTGTGACTTTTATTGTTCTGAAAAAATCGAATTGAAACTCGACTGCACCTCTGTTAATTATTGTGAGCTCGCCATCTTTCTTCTTCATGTAATTTTAATAATCAAATTTACGATGAACCCACCAAAAAGAGATGCAAGAAATACATAAGATTAAATTACGTTATTTTGTAATTAGTAAGAATAAATACGTCATTAGTTAAATTAAATCGAACCGAATTAAACCAAACCCGAATGGTTTCATAATTAAATTTGAACCAACGATTCCACTTATTAAATATCCAAAAATCCGAGTTCAGATCAATTCTGAAGTCCGATTCAATTATCTTTAGAACAAAATTGAACATAATCATGTCCAGCCCTAAATTTGCTAGTTTAAAAGATGGGTAATTAGAAGATAACGTTGTTACCTTTTCACTGTGGATCATTTTTTGACACTTTAATCCTTATTTTCACTTTTGGTCATTTTCATACATTTTTTCAATTAAAAACTACAAAAGGACAAATATATCATATATTAAAATAAAACAAAAAGAAAAGAAAAAAATTGCCATCACTGTCTCAAAATTTTTTAAAAAGTGTAAGCAAGTCCTAAATAAATTAATAAAATGATAATCAGTGCATAATGTCCTTACCTTTAATTATTATTGTGAAAAACTCGCTACTTTTCATTATTTTGCATTTTCACCCTTAATTACTCATTTGATTGCGCAAACCATTATTTCTATTAATTTCCATCCAATTTTTCAAGAAAAGCTGTGAAATGACGAATATGCCCCCTCCTATTTAAATAAAAAATGAAAAATAAAAGAACTAATTGTGACCATAGTATCATATTTTTTAAAAAGTGCAAACAAGTTCTAAATAAATTATTAAAAAATTAGAAATAAAAAAAATAACAAAGTACAAACAAGTCCCAAAAAAATTATTAATTTATTTAATTTTCTTTTTTATTTGAATAGGAGTTTATATACGTTTTTATTGAGAAATTGGATGAAAATTGATAGAAATGATGGTTTGCGTAATTAAAGGAGTAATTAAGGACTAAATTGTCAAAAATGAAAGGTATGGATGTTCTTCACAATAATAGTGAAAGTTAGGGACGCTATGTGCTAATTACTCTTTTAATAATTTATTCAGGACTCACTTGCACATTTAAAAAAAAAAGGGATTATGGTTGCAATAATTTTTTCTTTCTTTCTTTTATTAAATAGAATGTATATATTCGTCATTTCATGATTTTTAATTGAGAAAATTGATGAAAATGACATTTTGCGCAATAAAAAGTAAAAATAAGGGTAAAAATGTCAAAAATTGAAAGGTTTTGACTAATCTACTAAGGTTTTGATAGCTAGCGCCTAGTCTCGAGTTTTGAGTCAAGGAAACGGGTTTTGATAGATTAAGCCTAACCCAAAAATAATGTTATCTACAATGAAGTGAACCATCGAGTGAAGAAATGTAGTCTTCTCACTTTCTTTAAGCGGTATAATTGGACCTTTTGTTTAATGCGAATTTTTTTATTTCCAAAACCACCCTCAAAATTTTCATTAGCCACTTTCATGTTTACTAGCAAAAGTTAACAAAAGAGGCTATCGTTATCTAGTGCTCGTCATAGCAACCCGAGTTAGCTACCAAGATTTAAGAAGATGAACTTGGCATATTTAGCACGGAGGACAAAACAATGCGCATGACAGCGCTCATTTTCATGTCCCGGTTCTAAGCACTTATACGCCAATGTTTACTTGTAGAAGTCAATAGAAAATGTTATTTTCTCTCATAGTGTTTGGCTTGCAAGATTGGAAGACGTGCACTACTGTGTATCAATATTCAAACTCATTTTCACTTCACGAAATTGCCTCTTAATTTTCCATGTTTACTAGCAGAAGTCGAGAAGATGTGTTTTCTCTGGTGCTTGATAGGTGTAAAACGAGCCGAGTTAGCCGTAGACCTGTAATAACATTCAACTGGCTCGCTTAGCGCGTAGGATTAATGATGTTCACTGTTTCGTACCAATCTCCTTCATGGTCCATGTTTAGTAGCAAAACTCAAAACTCAACACAAGATGCTTGCAACTTGTTCTGTCAGCACTTCCAACCATACACGTAAAATCATCAACATACAGGAAGCTATCGATATTGGATTCTTGTGGCGTGAGGTTCTTGATTTCTGAGCAAATTCTTTGTAAAAGATGAAAATAATTCAGATATATTAGCAATCCAAGCAGCCTGGCGAGCATGGGGAGGAGTATTATTTACTGTTGACACTGTATTTAAACAATCCGACTCAATGCAGATCATCAACTCATGTGCGCAAACCGCAGGCCTTCCAAGATAGCATATAGGGCGATATATAGCCATGAAAAAACTTTGAAAAGCTTGCTATATCTATACTGTCATGGTCTCAAGCAACTCCACCAACCCCATTGCCATTACCTGCCACCAGCATTACCACGTCAACATTCTTTTTTTTTTGGGGGGGGGGGGGGGGGGGGGGGGGGGGCTTTGCCACATCTTGCATATTTTAGCAGTGTAAAACGCCCTCAACCAAATTCTAAATGTATATTATATGCTGTACAGCAATCTTCTGTGGTATCATCACCAAAACACCAAATAGAGAAGTTTCTTGCTTGTGAGCAAAATAGAAAGACTGGCTCATCAATCAGATCATTTAAGTGAGTCGAAGTATGCATTTTCTAACGACGGTACAAGGAAAATACCCAACTCGAAAAGTTACCTATTGTGAATCGATGAAAAATTCTAAGATTGTGTAAATTTCCTCTGTTCTGGGATGTGATTTGTCAACAGAGTAAAATTGATGAACTTGGTTATCAACCTCAATCCAACTGCAACCAGGAGTCTTATTAGCATTCTGCTCGTTCAATGATTTCCTCACCTTCCACACTTCATCCCACTTCCCCAACTCCCCATACAAATTAGCCATCATTGCACCATAACCTCCATTATTAGGATTGATCTCAATTAATTTTTTTACTGCAAGTTCAGCAAGGTCTGTACGCCGATGACTCCTACACCCGTTAAGCAAAGAACCCCATACAACCTCGTCAGGTGGAATCCTCATCCGCCTCACAACTTCCATAGCCTCTTCAAATCGACCGGCTCGACCTAGAAGATCTACCATGCACCCGTAATGCTCAATCTGAGGCTCAATCCCATACTCCCTAATCATCATTTCATAATACTGACGGCCCTGCTCGACTAACCCTCCATGGGTACAAGCGTTTAACAACCCAATAAAAGTCACTCCATCTGGCTTCACTTCATCCCCGTGATGCAGCATTTCCTCAAAAGCACCGATAGCTCCCACGCTCTGACCGTGCAGCGCAAAACAATTTATCATAGAGTTCCAAGAAGTTAAATTCACCTTTTTAATCCGATCAAAAATCATTCTTGCTATATTCAAGCTCCCACATTTCCCATACATATCAATCAAAGAATTTGCAAGAAACAAATCCAAACCAAGAGCATGCCTAAAAATATATGAATGAATGCTTTTCCCAAGCTGCAGCATTCCACAATGCCCACAAGCAGAAAGCGTACAGACCACCGTAACCTGATTAGGTCTATTCCTACCCCCTACCCTCTCCTCAAAAATCATTCTTCTAAAAAATTCAATGGCCTCCGAAAACAACCCATTCTGCATACACCCTGCGATAATAGAATTCCAAAACGGAGTATCTCTAATACTCTCAGGCATTTCTTCAAAAAGAAGAACTGCATGCCCCACTTCCCCAACTCTCGTATACCCTGAAATCATCGCAGTCCATGACACCACATTCCTTTCAGACATTTCATCAAACATCTTTCTCGCAAGGGCAATATCAACACCATATCTTGAATATGCATTCAAAAGCGCCGTTTGCACAACTGTGTATTGCCAAAAACCCAATTTCACAATCTGGGTATGTACCATTTGAGTCCCATAAGGTGTAACCACTTCCGGGCAAGACTTCAAAACAATAGGGAATATGAACTCATTAGGCTTCGAATAATTTCTTCTCACCATTTTGCGATAAAGCAACACAGATGAAGTATGATCGCATAGAGAATTATATGCAGTAATCATCGCTGTGTAAAGATAAATATTAGGTGAATTGAAGTGGTCGAAAATGTACCGGGCATAGGCGAGATCTGAGACATTTACTGTACAAAAACGAAGCAGTTTGAATGAGTAGAAATGGGTTTGGCCATGGCCGAGAGTGATGAGATGAGCTTGAAGTTGTTTGAGGTGATTAAGGTTGTTGCATTTGTCAAGGATTGAGAGTACATGCTTGTTCAAGCTGGTAGCGGGAAACATGTTCCGTGTGCTCCCTCAAAAACATTCATTTTGTTCATTTGTACGAGGACGTATGACGAGAATTCATTTGTTAGATTGTTTGGGATAAATTGAATTTTGCTAAAGTGCCAGATAACACTGCATCCTGTCAAGCTATACGAAAGGAGTCTAATTTACTTATAAGTCACTTTGTTTTAAATTGCTTTTTTTACCAGGAAATCTTATTTTGTATTTCATACCACTATTTCTCATGACGTACATGGATGATTCAATTGACACACAACAATTGCAATTCTCCTTAAAAGTTTTCTAGCCGATTGGAAGCCAATTGCCTAGCCAACCACAATTTTGTTGCGGGAGACACACAAGTGACTTCTAGTACAATTTTACGAAGAGTACAAGTTAATTGAAATATGATAACAGAGACAACAATTGACAATGACAAAATAAGTTATGTGACTTCTACCTACCAATATTATCAATTTTTTTCTCTATATATACATAAGTCGTTTCACCTCTAAGAGAATAACTGCCCTTCAGCTGTGACTGTGATTGAAATAACTTCAAACGCATGAAATAAATCAAGAGATATAAAATTCTCCAAATACAAAAGTCTTAAACAAAGTTAATATACTGTCTATTTATCCTTCCACGCCAACTTCCAAATTTCACTTGAGGATCATCGTATCTACAATCATCGCCTTACCCCTAGTTTAAGATATGAGCATTAATTTTAATGCTTTCTCTATATTGTGCAAGTAGGTGGATACATAGCTTGTTCTGTTGGAAGCTAGATCCGACAAGACATTATGAAATTTCTAAATACGATCAGATGTGTTCTCATAGCTAATCAACAAACAACCACAAAGTAAAGAAGTTGCCTGCATCTTTCTAATGAAACAATTAGCATTAATATGTCATATTCACTTTATCCAAGTCTATATATTTGTAAGAAATCAATTACACGATGGTCCTCATAAGAATTTTAAATCCCCGACTCTGCAACACCAACCACAATAGCTGAAATTGGCTGGTTCAGGCTACAAATAAACAATTTGAGAACATGATAGTTTTAGATTTCTAGGAATTAGAAAGCAATCTCCTTTTCTTTTTGCAAATTTTCACTCTCTTCTTTGAAGGGAGAATAGCCTGGTGCTGGGGAGAGCCAAAACAATGAAGTTTCACTAGCCTGAAGAAATTTTAATTGAAAGATCATTTAGGTAATAAAATAACTACGTTATGTTAGTTCCTTCCACCTTTTCTAGTTCCTGCATAACAAAGAAATTAGTAAATTCAGTGTATCTTGCATTGTTCCTTGCATTAAAACATAAGCAAATTTCATATCCGTATATCGAATCTTGGAAAGTGGATTATATCAAAGCATGGTATATAGAAGCATACGAGTTCATTTATAGTTTCCAGCTAAGGTTCAACTTAGAAGGCCACATCACAGATGTAGAATAATAGGAGCCACATTCAAAACAGAAAGTGAACTAAACAGAAGGAGAACTTCGTATTGTACTCGTCAATTTGACATTTTGTGAGGGGAAAAAAAATGAGAAATTCAGTGGATATTAAGGGATAAATAACGCAACTAAAAGAGGTGAATCAAAATTAACATCTGCCTATACTAGTGTAGCATGCCCATAAGTTTTCTCTATCACATAGTTCATATTATAGCGTGAGAGAGAGAGAGATAAAGGTCATCGTGATACCCTCAATGTAACATGAAATAAGCTAACCAATGAAATAAAACTAATAAGTTAAACTCTTTCAGATTACTGTATTTTCAAATAATCTGACTATTCAATTTATATCATGATGTAGCTACACGAATTACTCAAAGTGGAACTCCAATATGATAACATTGATAACAATCAAACTAAGTTTTATGTTAGACACTTGCAAGTTCTTGTCATAGTTTAATTGCGAGGTTGTTAATGGGTTAAGGGTATTTTGGGTAGATTGCAAATCATGCAGGGCACCAGCTCAATGTAAATAGGGGGTGGAATTCTATTTCATTTAGGTAGAAATTGAGGGTCAAATTGGGGAGAGAGGCAACCTTTCTAAAGCTGGCCATTTGCTGTAATTTGTTTTCGTTGTTCAATGTAATTTCTTTTTAATTACCTTTCAATTGTTACAGTTATATCACAGATTCAAATTAGGTTCTTATCAGCTTAATCTTGAAATGTATGCATTATGCAGTAAAGTTTTTGATGTCATAAACGAAAATGAACCATTAAGCATTTCAATCAACATTTTAGCATCATTTCTCCACACAAATACATTCCAGACAAGCTTCATGCTAGGAATCATGGTTCAGATAAAAAACAGGATAATCAGACATCTGGTGACCATTATAAAATTTATAAATCGATAAATGATATAATCAATCAAGAACACAAAAATTGTCATTAGCAGCTAGAGTTGAATACTGTATATATTTTTCCATAAGCGCTATTTCATGAAAAGGAAAAGAGTAAAAAGAAAGCTAGAATGCTTACGGTTTTGACTTTGGACCACCAAAGGGCTCTGTAATGCATCATAGTGACCATAACCATGATACAGCACACGAATTGGATTTCCCTTCCCATATTCTTGCCCATATTCAGCTATAATTTTGAGGCAATTACTCCTCTTATCCAACATGTGAACTGTTATGGGTACCCTGAAAATTTCAAGGTCAATTAACTTTCTTAGATTAGTATCTCTACCGATTTTCATCTTATTCTGAGTTATTAATCAAATAATGCAGTTATTATAAGTTGTCTTCCAATGATTCGACTAACTAGATGATGGGAAAATCACTCTGTTTAAGCCAAGTATATGCAGAGTTCATAGTCATGAGATTCCAGTGAAAGGCCAAAGTCAGTGGCCACTTTGGTTACACCCACGAGTGTAAAAGAGATGCTCGAGCGATTGGGTGTGTAGGGAATGCCATCTTATATTGATCAAACAATTAAAGTAATGTGGCAGTTAAAGCATAAAAGTGTCTCCAATTCTAAAAGCTTTGAGACAGATTGAACAGGTATATAACTCCTTCCCCATATCAGATTACTCGCTTAGATGTTAGCTTCATTAAACTATTAGTCAAGGTCAATAATTTGCAGCAATACAGGTTCGTTCAGATGGAACCCTTAACTGGAAAAGGAAAAACCTACTGTAGAACATGTGACGACATGAGCAGCTCAGGTTCCCCTCCCCAGACATGGGGTCGTCGCATCTGTGTAACATAAGCATCAAAATCACCTTCGACAAACCTGAAAAGTCATAAAATAAGGATATAATGACTTGGAGATGGAAAATACACAATGTAGAATTTACCATATATGATTTTCTAGTGCATTTTAATATGTGCATAATGTTATAATCTTTAGTGTTATTCAGACTTGAACAGTAACAGAGTGAACCAAGTGAGAAAACCAATGTGAAGTTAAAAAATAAATAAATAAATAGAGCTAAAAGTTGGATTAATACACAATAGACAGAAAACTTATGAAAATTTTAAATGAGGACAGAGTGGTACAACGGTCTCAAATTTTCAAAGCTCCATTTAATGAACTTTTGAAAGAACAAGCACATAGCTGACTAGTCAAAAAAATAACTCAAAACAAATGCCTCTTACGCTAATTTAGTATATGCAAACATATTTTACCATTCACTATCTGCCCGCCTCTTGATAAATTCATCGGCAACCTGCAAACAAAAAAAATGCATCTTCTCTTTAGGTGAAAAGGAAAATGAAAATTCAAAAATACGTTGTTTCATCATAGGCCTATTTCGCTCAACCAGAAAAGGAGCCCTTATTTGCTTGGACTCTTCTCTAGCAATAAAAGTCAAGGCAATAAGTTGTGAAAATGACAATAAAGTAAGCGTAATGATTTTGGAGTGTCGAATTTCTCTTTTCTGAACAACTTTATAAATTGACACATAAAACAAAAGTAAGCCAGTTTCCATCACGCATAAGTTATGATCGTAGCTGCAGAAAGAGAGAAAGTTTCCGTCTGGAGAACAAATTCCCAGGGCTTAAACCAATTGGGAGAATTAATGGATGGAGACCTTCCAAAGGATACTCACATAATTAATAGATAGCAAGCATTATCTGTAAATATTCCAACTGAAGTGAGGTTATATTTTCAGTTGGTGCATTTAAACGAGGGATATGCCTTTCTTGACTATTGCAACATTGTTTCATCTTAATGAATGATATGTTTTATCAGTTATTCTCGTACATCTTGCTCAGATCACGTATGCACTGGACTACTGGATATAAGCACAACAGTTTCTTAGTATTCTTGGAAGATAAAAAGGAATTATATTTTACTTTTGCTCTAAGCTCATCAGCAAGTTCTCTTTCATGACTTTCGCTTGGAGCCGGCTTTCCTTCTCTCAAATGAGCTCCATGAACTACCGAACGGAACAAACACCTACCATCGCCAGGTATCCCTGCATCACAACACCACCTTTCAACTAATACGAAGCCATCAAAAAACAATTCCATAAAAAATCCAATTGTAAAATCAATCAAACTGCCATAATACTTTCCCTATATCCTACTCTAGTGTATCATTGCACGGATTCTTTTAAATTTCATCTAAATAAATCCAGTAAAAGATTTCTGCAATACAAGGTGTTGCACAAGGGGGGTCAATTTACATACCTGTGCCAAAACCCATATGAATTTTCAAAATCAGCAGCGGAACATAACATTCAACCCCAAAAGCCGGTATTAAAACCAAAACAACAGCAATACGCTAAAGGAAGTTTAATTCGAAGGAAAAGAATAAAAAACTATCAACATTCCTCACGCCAAGTAAAGTATTTATTATATGCCAATTTGATTCCTATTAAATTAAATTGCATTACATTTTTCCCTCTACTATTTTCAACCAAACAATCTTTCATAAAATAATATTACACGTAAATCGAAAATTTTTTCTTATTTTTCAACCGCTTATTTTTCTAAAAAATACTATTCTCCATTTTCATTTTCAGCTAATGGGGTAAAACAGGGGCTAACAAGCAATTCTAATAATTAAAATTAAATATTAGATTTGCTTATTAATCTTATATTAAAAATTAAATATCAGATTTGCTTATTAATCTAGTATTTAAAATTAAATATTAGATTTTCTTATCAATAAAGTCCAAGGTCTGATTGTTACCCGGCAAAAGGTCTGATTTCCGCATGGAAAATATTAAGCAACCAAATTTGGGCATAATTTCGCTATTTGAATTGAGTTAAAAAGGAAAAATAGAACTTTACCTGAATGTAATGAAAATGATGGATTTGTTAATGAGAGAATCGAAACGTTATGAGAGATTGTAAAGTGGATGATTTGATCAGAGAGAGAGAGATCGATGCGCCATCTGAGAGCATCAATAAGTTGTTTACAGATTTGCAATGGTGCGATGACCGGACTCCTATTTGACTCGCTATGATTGTGCAACGAACACATTTACAGAAAACTTGATCAATTTATAATCTAGCTTACATAATAAAATTCTTTGATTCTAAGTTAGGCCTGAATAATTGCCTTGTTAAATTATAGGATAATATACTTTTTTGAAAGGGAAATTTACTTCACAACAGGTATTTAAAGATAAAAATTCTAAAATCGAGTATTAAGTTTACTTGAGCATAAGTCAGATATTAGTCAAAATTAAAAATAATATATCTTATCTCTATCTCTCATTCGCACTCTCTCACATCATCTCTCTCCCCGACTAGTCTTGCACCATTAGCTTGAGTTATGATTTCTCCTTGTCATCATCGGATCTCTGGCCAACAAGGTCAACACAACAGCACGTAGTGCTTAGTCGCTGAGCGTTGTGACAGCGATCTAAGTGCCTTTCAGCGACAATTCTAATGAGCTCCATCCTAGGCTAATCTAATCAGAAAATTGAGATTCCAGTTTAGTTTCAGATGAGCTCGATCTAGAAGAAATGCCACCAATGCTCCCAATTTGTCAGACTTTAGATTTGGTGTTGGGTAGCTGCAATCTAGTTTTGGGTTCGTCTTTATAGGGCAGCTTGAGCGGTGCTCTCGTCGTTGCCACACTATTGTCACCACTCATAGCGACCGCGGCTTTCGATCGCGACCATGTGCCTCCGATTTGATGTTTTTCCAGAGTTTTGGCGTTGGTGATTTAGTTGGTTGTTGGGTTGTTAGTAGTGATGGTGGTAGAGCGATAGTGGTAGTTGTGGTGAAGTCTTATAGTGGTGGTTATGGTGGAATGCTGGTGGTCGATCATTGTCCACAGGTGGCGGTGTTCATGTTGCAATCGATTGAGTTTTTGTGACCAAATCAATTGAATATGTGACCCATCAAACTGCAAGTGTTGCATGACACAGATTTAAAAGATTTGGTCCTTGGTTACTGGATCAAGTCATGGTCACATATAACATGGCATATGTCAAAGTGCATAAGTCATAAGTCATGGATTCAAGAGATTTGGTCACAAGCCCAAAAGATTTATTCACTGGCTATCAAATTTGGTCATGGGTCACATGTCAAGTGCAAAGGTCACAGGTCGCGGATTCAAGAGATTTGGTCACAGGCCATTAACTTATGTTACATTTCACATATCCAAGATATTTGGTTATAGGCTATTGGATCAAGTCACGGGTCACATATTCGAGAAATTTGGTCATAGGCCATTTGCTCAAGTCGCATTTAACATATTCAAGAGATTTGGTTATAGGCTATTAGATTAGGTCGCTAGTCACATGTCGCAAATTCAAGAGATCTAGTAACATGCCATTGATTCTTTGACCTCAGTCGATGGGAACTTGGTTCGAATTCAATTAACCAAATTTCAGCGACGAGAATTCAAGTTATTTTGCTCCGATAAATACTATGTAAATTACACCGGGAGCTGATTTTCAATTTTCTAGTTAGAAAAAAAAAAGCATTTTAAATTATAATAGCACTGCTCAGTCTCAGTCACCAACGAATTCAGTCGTTGCAAAGTGTCGATTAGTTTTTAGTCGACAAGAAGTCATCGATGGGATGGAGGTCGGGAGATGTCAGCGACAAGTAGATGCCGACAAGTGAAGTAGGAGTGGTTGGTGTGGGTGTTGTAGATTAATTTAATTTAATAATATTATTATTTAAAACTAAAATA